AAAATAATTACTTTAAAGACTCTAATTTTCTCCTCTTGGCATGCTGTTTACTCTGACGCTTCTTGCAACATCCATAGTTTATTTGAATGAACCCATTTCTTATTAATGAAAACATCAGTTATAGACCAGGGAATAGGAAGTGTTTGTAACCTTGACCCTTAAGATAAGCCAAAAGGAGAGCAGACCTTTTGGGAGTTTCATAAATATTATGATTTCTTTTGCCATAGCATGAGTGCAAATGAGAAAAAGCCCTGGCTTAATATTAAGTCATTTCATGTGATATTTTGACATGTCTGTCTTTTTCAGAATAAAATGCTTTATGACACACTGATATTGCTTGTATTTGCCATTACCTCAAGTTTCAACTGATTGTAATCACAGAAGTTACTTACCAGAAGCTGAAAGTTACAGACCCCTTACAGTTAAGCAAAAGCTGAGGACTCAATATTTCCTTAGGTATTTTCTTGGATGTTGGTGGCTAAGGTAAACTAAATACTGGAATTGGGACTGCCTTATTTTTTTTGTGTCACAGAATCGAGAGTATTTTAGGTGATGGAAGAGCTGGCTGTTATAAATATTTGTTAGTTTGATCTTGAGGTAATGGGTGAAATGAACATATTGGGAAGACGGGCTTTTTCTGGTTGCTCACCCTAACCTGGTAACAGTAACTGGACAAATGTATGAGGGAGTTTTAGTACGGTGCAGAAGATATGATTTCATGTGGCAGCTCTGGTTTTATGGGTTAGACTCAGAAGCTGTAAAGGTAATGGCTTTCATTATTAATGTTATTTTATGAATACACATGGACAAAAGATTGTCTTACAAAAGAGCTTGTCTTCTGATGTCTGGAAACAAATCTGGTTTCTTGCCTTCCTTTTAGTCTAAACTATTTGAATTCATTATATATACAGAATATGAAATGTTTGTATCATGTCTATATATGCACATGGTCATTGTGTTGTTTACAAATAAATCCTAAGTAACAAAACAAAAATAACACTCTTACTATTAACATCTAGAGCCCTGCCTGAGATTTTCTGCTCCTGCTCAGCTAGTTGAGATGCTGGGTGCAACCCTTAAACTCAACAAAGCAAAAGGATTTTGGAACTAGAAGTCCAACAGAGATACTGCTTACTACTAGCAGCTTCTCCACCATGCAGTAATAGTTTATTGGATGTATTTCATTCATTTTATTGATAGATCTTTCCTTCTGTTATTCCCCCATGCAGGAAATGGCTAATTTTCACATCTTGCTTTGGTTCTGGCTCCATGTTGTAACTAACACTAGGATATCTTGCACTTTAAAAAACAACAAAACAACTACCGCAACCACCAAAAAAACCCCCAAACCTGAAGGCAGTGGAGAAAAGGAGACAATGTTGAGAAGAAAAAGAAAACATATTTTCTGACAAAGGAGAAAGCTTGTTTCCACTAAACCTGTGTACCGGTTGAAGTTTCTGCAAAAAGTTACATTTCATTAACTAGGAAAGGTGAATGTGAATTTGATGGATTTTTTTTTTTTTGGTCAGTCATTGTGCATTTTGCTAGCACGATGCACAGATTTTGCTAGCATAGTGAAAGTGTCAGTAAAAACGAATGAAAAAATTAATTTAAATGTAAGTGTTTTGCATGCATCTCTAGTTAAATAGAAACTTCTGGAAATTATGATTAATGTCTTGCCAGCTCTTGGTCTGTTTTTTCCTTGTTGAGTCTATTAGGAGAGGTCGTTGTTCAATCAACAGAATTACATTCTGATTTCAATCAGAATAAAGCCTCCCCTTCAAAACTTGCCAGGGTCTTGCATGTATTGTGGTTTTTTTGTTTTGTTCTATTTGTTAAGTGGTTAAGGCTTAACTGGATTTATTAAGACACAGCTCTCCTGTAACTGTTACCAGCTTTTATTGTGCTTGAGGGGAGATCAAGATGATCTGCAAGTTATTTGTGTTGACAAGAGTCCTGGTTAACAGAAGCCAAATGCCATCCACTAATACACAGAAGAAATATAATACGGCTCATCCAGTATGTCATTAGATATGTATTTGTACCAGGTAAATACTGGACCACAAATCATAAAGCAATATTTCAGAAATCTGTTGATAATTTTAGTCAAACTTATTATATAAACTATGTTAACGAATAGGTCCTGTATTGCTGTTGACACCACATTACTAATGCAACTCTTAATAACTGGCTGTAGTGTAAGTAGTACAACTTCAGTTACAGTTAGTATGTCTCGGGCACTTGAGATTAGCAGTCTGAATACTTTCCTCAAGTACTCTCATCTGCAGTGAAATAGTGGTTAAAAACGGGGGATGGGAGATATTCTCAGGTTCCACACAACTGAGCAGGCTAAGACTTTTTTTGAAAGTTAATTGATTTGCAGGCTGAGTAAAATTTAGTTCTGAACATGAGGTCCTGGATCCATGAAGGCAAAGAGCATTTAAGTGCCATGGTGGATTTTACTGCTGTGTGACAGCTCTGAACTGTTTCACTAGTAAGTTTTTTGGGAAATGCTGTCACTGAATGATCATTTTTGACAGCCTTTTATGCTCTCCTTGAGGTTGGAGAATTTATCAATAGGTTGCAAAAGTGAATAGTTTTTCAGGGGAAAAAAAAAAAACACCAAACAAAAAACCACCTTGGTCAGTGTGCTCTTAAACTTGCAGCTTTGGGAGACAGTGTAGCACTTGTACTTACCATTCTATCATTAAAGGACTGTAACTTTTATTATATAGACCATTTTGTAACAATGTGTTATGTTTCTCTATAAATGCCTTTTGTGGATGACACTGAGCTAGTGCAGCCTGAGTAAAGTATTTGGAGCTATCTAGAAACAAACAAACAAAACAAAACAAAAAACAAACCCCACTGCCTGAGAATTTTTAACTTGCTGAATTTTAATATATTTCATAGTATCTGTAGCTGTTCTGTAACTCTACACTTTCTTTTTTTAATGCATTTTATAGATTGCTCATGGTGTATAATATTGAGCGTAACCATTATTTTTGCTCTGCTCCTTGAAGATGGAGTTGCTCCCACTTCTGACACATGCACACAACGCAGCTTTACTTTTGTGTACTGTGTTGGATGCAATCTCATGTAAAATGCTCTTACGATTTTTGTAGCCACCTTGTATTTGCAGGCAACATGTGAGATTTTCCTTTATTTTCTGTACTGGTTATTTATAGACCGGTGGTTCCCAAAACATCTCCAGCTGTGAGCTCCCCTTCTGTCAAGACTGTGGCTTCAGTAGAGGCGTGAAGAGTTGGGTACCTTCTGGGGTGGTGGCTCAAGTTCTAACTGCTGCAGCTGTCTGATTGTGGCTTGTGCAAAATCCAAGTGCTTGAAGCTTTCTTGATTGTACAAACACACTAATAATATCCAGGAGCCCAACTTGGGTGAAACTTCATTGATAACTAGTGAGGCCTGAGTAAGACATCACCCTGGGTCCAGTAACTCATCCCTGACAAAAAGCATCCCACCAGTTTTTCAGAGCTGTGTTGTGAAGGTGGATGATTTCTTGTCTGCCACCTCCTTCCTCCTGCTCCCTGGCTTTGAGCTTGTTCCTCTCCAACCTGGACTTCTGGCTGACTCTTCCACAGCAGAAGTTACAGCTTAATTTCTCTGGCAAATCACTTAAATCCTAAATCAGCATTTAGGGACTGTTTGACTCTAGTGCTTCCCAATCCCAGTGACTCATGTTGGCAACCTGTGTTTCTAACACATCATCTGCACACATTTGTGGACTGCTCTGTTTTCCTCTGTGTCATGACATAATAATGAGCAACCAAATACTGATTTGTTTATGTGTTTGCATAATGAATAAATTCTGCCTTTGTATGTCATTTAAAAAAAAAAAAAAAAGTATTTAGGAATACCAAGAGGTGAGGTACTTCATCTTCAACTGTCTCTTTAAAAGGAAGAGGAGCCTTTGCACTGTGAGAATAACTGGATGTTAAGCAAACCAAAATCCACTTGGCCGAGAGGCATGTTTCTGCGGGGCATCCGGTGGCAGAGCTGTGCCAGACTGAAATCCAGTAGTGTAGCTGGTAGGAACTGAGACTAATGCTGTAATCAATTGGGTACCAAGACTGTGGGTTTGGGAAAAAGCCCTCAAGTGAGGATTTGCACTTAAAAGGGAAAAGAGTATTTCCCTTCAAACCTGAATCTGCTTTGGAGGCAAGGTCAGCCTGAGGATGGCATCTATCAAAGACACAAAATTTGGACTATGGGGGCAGTTTGGAGACGTAGTGTGACTTGGCAACTTGCTGACCAAAAAGAAAATAAAGGAAAACTTTGAAGCCAAATCATTTGTACATAGCTCTAATGTATTGCAGTGATTTACTTCTCATATCTAACTCTGTGGTCATAGATTAATGAGAAACTTCTAATACCAGTGTTGGAGTAAGTGAAGGAAAGAGGAATGAGGAAACATGCACACACATCAAACAAGTGATGCAAAGGCAATTCCTCGCCAGCTCCCCCATGCTAACCTGGAACCCTAGCTGTCTACACTAGCTTCACCAAAACTGTTGCTGGTGGGATTTTATATAACAGCAGTGAGAAGTATTGTTTTTAGAGAAGTGTATCATTTCCTTATACTTGCATTACATGCCTTAGTCCTTCCCTCATCCGATGTTTGCTCCTTTATGCTTTTGTACATGCTTTGTGTGAACTATTTTTAAAATGATGCCATGTGCTGTATACTGATATATGCAGTGGTAAGCTTCGGATGCTCTTGAATGGCTGGGGAAACAAGAACTTTGTGTAGTTCTGAAAACGTTTGTTGTTCTTCAACAACAAATAACTTCTAAGATATTTTAAATGTAAAGGAAAAACTTGAAGGCTACTCTGTGTTGTATGACATATACAAATGATCAGAATGATGATACCTCTGGCAGCATTTTGGGGTTATTTTTGTTATGCTGAGTGTTTATTGTGTAAAATTGGATAATTAGATTGAGCAAGTGGGATGACATATGAAATCTTGGTTTTGACAGATTTCCAGAAGAAGCAGCCAGACGACGACTCTACTCCCAGCACAAGCAACAGCCAGTCAGATTTGTTCTCTGGAGAAACGAACAGTGGCAACAGCAATACCTCTCTAACCATGCAGGCCACTAACTCCAGCCAGCAACTTTTGACAGAACTGAATGTAACTTCACCGAGCAAAGACGAATGTAAGTGCACGAGTCCTAAGTGACAGCAAAGGAGGCATAAACATTTTGCTTCATTCTCGGACTTATGTTTCACTGACTTCCTTTGGAAGTAAATGGCCTGTCTTCTGGGGCAAAGGGAAAGGTTAGAAGTTATTCACAAAACAGACATTGATGGCATTAACCAAGAACAAATTAAAAGGGGTCACAGGGGTTTCTAACTAACTTTACAGCTGTTTGAACTGCAGTATACAATTTAATTGCGATTTTGAGGCGCTCATTTTGAGAAACTCCTCCTCACATTACTGGTAAATTAATATTTATATTCAAGAATAAACACCAATATCTTGTGAAATTTGACTTTAAAACCTTTTGGTTTTTAATTATTGCAGTTGCATATAGCACTGACCAATGAATGCTTGTCTAGACTGCTGCTAGGTTACTTGCATAAGTTTTGTGTGGTAATCCATCTCTTCTTTCATGACCCATCGTTCTTATTTATTGAACTCTGTCAGGCAAAATTTCTCCCGGAAGGTAAGCTAAAATGTTAAAGATTAGCAAACACAGTGAGATAAAGTTGTCTTTTAAATGATTCTAAACCTCTGTCTAAGTTCATCCTATGTCTAATATATTGAGTTTTAAAATCTGCGTTCTACAGCTTAAGGTCAAATATGTAATTTGTAGTTTCATTTTCCTCCAACTGTAGTTTTATTTTAGAAGGTGCTCTATGGAGAGAATCCTTCTTGAGCTGAGTTTATATTGTGGCTGGTAAATAGACATACACATTGCAAGAAAAACTTGCTTATTTTTTAGTGGGAACTCTGCGAGAGCTACTCTGGTTCTTCAGCATTGAGGCAACTGCTGGAAATAACAATGCTGACAAAGCACTAGGACTAAAATAATCTTTGATATGCTACACTTGTTTTCAGTAGTGTTAACTATTTGCATAGGATGGTTTTGCTGAGTTGCTGAAGTATTTATTCTGTTTATGGGTATGTAGACTTTGCATATACTTTTTACTTATGTAGATTGGCTGTGGACAGAGCACAAAGTGTCATTTTTGGGATTGTGGTAGTTTTAGACTAACAAAAATAAAATTTTTAATTTGAGTTATTGTTTTCTATCTGAGAATATTGTCAGAAATACAGTAGGGTTCAAATGTGAATGTTCTGATACCAGTTCTTGTAATAAGACTAAACTTGCCATGTAACTCTTGTCTCTCCTTCGCATACACAGTTGCTGCTGATCATCCATCGTCCCTTCCTTCTGTCCAGCGCCTCTTCAGGGGAAACCTCTAGTCTGCTGTAAAAACAAGGCCTTAAAACAACCTTCCTAGAGAATTTAGCAAAACATTATGCTTCAGCAACACATTTGGGTGTTCATAGGGCAGGGGGCTTCAGCACCTCTGCTGGCTTATTAGCCAGGATCTGCTATTTGGTGTTACGGGGTGCTTCTCCAGTGCTTGCTGGGTCAGGTTTTCTGAAAATTTGTTCAGTTAGGAATTAAATTGTGTTACAACAAAGTGTTTCTTTTGTGGCCAAGAAGGACTTGGGGGTAAGTGGAAAGGTGATTACAGGGATGGGAAGGAGGGAAGGAAATTAAATGCTGTCCTTCATCCTGAATTGCTGCAAGCTTGTGAACATACACTGAAGGTGATGGATATTAGGCAGCACAGCCTGCAGAGCATTTGAAAATATTACCTATTAAAAAAAATCCTTCATGACTTCCTGCTGGAGTGATTGTAAGTGAAATACAGTGGAGAGATTTATTTACAGCTTGAGCTCTCTCTGTCTTCTCTCACATCCCCACTACCTCTTTAATGAAGCTCAATATCATTTATCAGAAATAATTATACACAGATGGAGCTTTTCTGATGGATAATGGCCTCAGCATGGAAGATTCTTTCCTGTAATGAAGAATGCCCAAACTTTAAATGTCTTATAATTTTAGAGTGTCTTTTTCTGTGCAATATTTATTTATTTTGCAGCAAGTTCTATACAGCATGCAGTGCTCTCGTTACAGTTGTGTTCTTCAGAGATTGATATTTTGCAGTGTCATGAGATGATGTACAGCTATGTGCTGTTCCAAATAGAACTCTGGTAATTCACCAGAAACCAAGGTATGGGATCATTATGGTAATCCCTATCAAAGTGTGGAAAGATTGGAGTACTCGGGAAGGATTCTCATGGTGCATTCCACTCCCCTCTCTTCCCTTTTAAGCTTTTGAGGAGAGTTTCACATCAAGGCATTCTCCATAGTGCTTGAGTCCATAGGGTGAACAGATCAGACAGAATTGCAGCAAGTCATTTACACAGTTAACAAATTCCATTCATGTTACAACAACTGAAGAGAACCATAGAAATCTTATGTGGTAAGATTCCTATTATGTGTCAGAGAAAGTGATGGGGGGTTTTGTACTTGTTTTTAAGTAGCCATTTCCTTTTTTAACACAGAATGAATGATGTAAGAGAAAAGTTCCCTGGAGTGGATTTTGCAGGAGTTCAGTTTGACAATATGCAAGTATTTCTGCCTTTTGTTACTGTTTTGATTTTCTGTGAGAGTTGCATTTGCATTCCTAAGTGTCTTATATACACAACCAGGTTGTAGTGACTTTCCATCTCCTGCCACCCTCAGTTCTGAACAATCACCTACCCCAGTGGCTGCTTTGCTGATTACTATCTCTCCCCCTCATAGATGAAAGGTAGTTCTCAGCCTTACAGTTACAATCAACAAAAACGTGTTAGATTTATGCCCAGAGACAGTGACGCAAGCTTCAGGACTTTTTTCTTTCCTTCACATGTGTTTTGTTTTTATGAAGTATTACTTATCACCAATTTCAAAA